ACATGTGACCATAGTGCAGAATGAAGGCAGGAGTAACTTAAAACTACAGTTCCTATGAGGCACCACAGTAGCTCAGGCAGAGTTTAATGCTACCTAACCAGAAGTGAAATATTTCATTTCTCAACTCAAAATTTCCTGAAAATTAATCCTGTTTTCTGGGAAATTTCAATTTATTTGAAACCCCATTTTCCAACAGGAAAATGTTTCATTTGAAATGTTTTGACCAGTCCTACTTAGTTAGATAAACTATAGCATGAGTGGAATTTCAGACTGGCTGTGTCTACACTGGCCAGTCTTGCACAAGAACATATGCAAATGAGGTGCAGTGATGAATATTGCTGTGCCTCATTTGCATATTTAATGAGACACCATTTTTGCACAAGGAGCCGTCTACAAAAACTCCCTCTTGCGCAAGAGCTGTTCTATCTGAAAATAAGTGGCAGAACAGCTCTTGGGCAAAAGCCCCCTGTGCAAAAATGGCGGCTCATTAAGTATGTAAATGAGGTGCAGCGATATTCATCACCACGCCTCATTTGCATATGTTCTTGCGCAAGACTGGCCAGTGTAGACGTAGCCACTATGAAAAACAGCCGAAATCCACAACCCCTTTGCTCATACATATAGTCCAAATGGGCCTAGAGGTATGAGTAAGAGTTACAGGAACATTCAATAATTAATAATAACAAAAATGGAGTCTGAATTTTGGGATGTTTCAAGAATTTTCTTGTAGATATAGCACATTCAATGCAATATAAAAACTGAACAGGGTAGTACAATAGTGTGGTGAAAAATTATATGCTGTGGATGAATATATTGTCCATAATCAAAAGTGCAGTATTATGATAAAAAATCAATGTAAATTGCAAGCAAACGAAAGATTTTTCAGCCCAAGTTTGGAAAAGTTTGAACTGTTCATAATAGGTAAGGGTAGATAAAACCTGAAGAAGTAAAGTAAAACAGGTTCCAACTATGAAACTTACTGATAAAATTTGTGTAAAGTTTGTAAAGTTGAAAATCAAGAGTTCCGCTTTGAGATTAGTAGATGACACATTAATAACAGTACTTTCTTAAGTGCGAAATCATAGAATTATAGAACTGGAAGGGACCTCAAGAGGTCATCAAGTCCAGTCCCCTGCACTCATGGCAGGATCAAGCATTGTCTAAATCAGTGGTCCCCAACCTTTATGGGCTCCCGGGCGCCTGGGGGCGGGGCCGCACACGCGCCGGGCGCCTGGGGGCGGGGTGACACATTAATAACAGTACTTTCTTAAGTGCGAAATCATAGAATTATAGAACTGGAAGGGACCTCAAGAGGTCATCAAGTCCAGTCCCCTGCACTCATGGCAGGATCAAGCATTGTCTAAATCAGTGGTCCCCAACCTTTATGGGCTCCCGGGCGCCTGGGGGCGGGGCCGCACACGCGCCGGGCGCCTGGGGGCGGGG